GTCTCCCTTCTGTCTCCCTTTGTCTCCGGTCTTGTCTCCCTTCTTGTGGGTCACTGTGTCCGTCTTGTCTCCCTTGTCTCCCTTCTTGTTGGTCATCGTGTCCGTCTTGTCTCCTTTCTGTTTCCTTTTGTCTCCCTTCTTGTCTCCCTTGCGTTTGGTTATTGTGTCCGTCTTGTCTCCCTTCTGTTTCCTCTTGTCTCCCTTCTTGCTGGTCATTGTGTCCGCCTCGTCTTCCTTCTTGTCTCCCATGTCTCGAAATCTGGACTCGGGAATGCTTCTTTGTTGTCCCACCTGTTTGGGGTCTACGGTGGTGTAGTTTCTTTCTTCTTTAGACCTTTCTGTCCCTTCTTTTTCAAAGACCTTTCTTCTTTAGAAGTGGTTTTCCACCTCGTGACGCGTGTGAGGTGAAGGTCCTTGCGAAGCCAGCATTCGGCGTGGTCCAAGTAGCTTCAGCATCTCCAGCCTCAATGACACCGAGAAGTCTGAGAAGGACCGATGGGCCATACAGTCGCTTGGGCCATAAGGACTGATGGAAACCAAACCCACCCCATACAGTCGCTTAGAACACGGTATATCCATTCGGGACCTCGCATTTTGCGGCGGGTCTCTGTGTTGAACTGTTTTTTTTTCTTTTTTCCCCATGGGTCTTCAACCTCACTCGATGACCGGCCGGTGGGCAGAGGTGTCAGTCCGATTCTGTGTGGCTCAGCTTGGCTTTCTGGGCAAAAAGGGACACCCCGGCTGTTTTGCTGACAAGGCAGAAGCTGATCTTGCGCAAACTGGATGTTCAAGATCAGAAGCTGGCACAGATTCTGGACATGATGAAGAGGATGGCACCGAAGCTCAGCTTGACTCCTTTGAACAGACATGTCTAGACTAGACTATTTCCTTGTTTTCAATCTCTAAAACTCTAAAACAACAAAGCACTGCGAACCGTTTGGTTGGGTGGCACAAGGGTTTAATGTTTCCTTTCGCATCTCACAGCACCGGAAGCAACCTGCTGGATTCCACTAATCCGGTGTCCAAAGATCTGTGTGTGGAGATCCGTCGTCCAGCCAGACCCAGACAGAATGGTCCTGGTAGGCAACTACATCAATCGTGCTAGGTGACAACATCAATTCTGGTAGGTAGCAACAGCCAAATTGGATCGTTTGGAGCCCATCAGATCTGCTCATGGCAGGGTCAGAACCCCACACCCATGCTGAAACACTGAACACATTACACCATCGTGGTGTGTTTGGGCCAAGCACAGTGCCATATGGGGCCACGCCCCAGGCCAGAGCTCAAGCCCTTGAAGTCTCCAGACCGGTCCGTGCCGGCCTCACCTCCTCAAGTGCGGCCACGCATCAGCAGTGGGGGGAACTCCCAGGGCTCCGCGATGACGCCCATTCGGCCCAGGAAGAGTTCGGGTGATGGTCGGTGGTCGGTGATGGTCGAAGACATGGAGAAATGAAACAGATATGGAATCTTGAACATGTGTATAAAGATGTATAATAGAAACAGTCAGAAGCCAATTAGGTAGGTTTGTCCTCATTCTACCAGCCCCTTTGGCAAGCCAAGGCCATCAATGGTATTTTGCTAAGGGGTGTTTTTGTTGACACATCATTATCATTATGTGTTTTACATTTAGGGAGGCAGGAGATGTTGGAGGTCTTATTGACGGAGAGAGTGGTCCATCCTCGCAGGACTCCGCGGCTCTTTACGACCAGCAAGCAAGAAGAAGATATGCACCGCTTCAAGGCTGCCAGCAAGGATGGCGCCAATGCACGGCGCAGGTGGGAGAGATGAGAGATGGAGAGAGAGGTTTAGGTTTTGTTTCAAACGTACTCGTGGTGAGTGTGGTACTCGTGGGGCATGGGGATTGAAGATCCAGACAAATGGGAGGTCAAGAGATGTCAAGAGCAGAAACGCCTTGATCTAGCAGAGTTTTGCTTTATAAACCAGAGCTTTCCATGAGGTGCCGCAAAACCCGATTTGCGAGATGAGAGCCTCTTTCTCAATGGGTCCAACCAACGGGCGGGTGTTCGGTGGACGCAGCGGACGCAGGACGAGAACGATCCGTCGTAGCCGGCACGAACCCGGAATTTCCTGAACACTCATGGGTCACCAGGAAAACCATGGAAAACCCTGTAGGCAAACTGCTACACCTTAGCTAGTGCTAGGCTAGTGCTAGGCTATTCTTCAATAAGGAGTCTCGCTGTGCCGTCCAACAGGACGGAATCCGAGCATTCTTCAATCAGGAGTAGTAGTCGGCAGGATTGTCCTGTTTCAGCCCCTGAAGGCAGAGGTCATCATGCTCCTTGTCCTGGAAACCCATGTCGATGAGATCAAATAGGATCAATCTAGGCTCATGCTTCTGATTTTCAAGTTGATTGGGATGCTGAACCAAGACATTTGTTGTTGCGCCGACACATCAAACAACTCGCAAAAGCCACCAACATCAGACATCAGTCAGCACCGCTTTAAACCTGTCCCCAGGAAACCGGAACCCTCTTCCCACGAAAAGCGTGCCGCTTTTCGCTCGCTTAGCTTCTTCGCTCGCCCTCCACCGGTGGAGGTTTGCAGATCTCCACATCGACGCCCAATCTGAATCACAGAAATCCTGGAGTCTCCGTGTCGTCACACACCCCGGCTTCGACATCTTCTTCGCCTTAGCCGCTCGGTGTGAACGGCTCAGAACGGAGGCGCGAACAGTTCTCGGCCTTTGAGGCTTCTCGGACCGATGGAGTAGCTGCTACGGCGGGCCCACACGGTATCCCACGATGCCTTCTCCTTTTTTTTTAGGGACGTGCTTTACAGAGGGAAACCATTGTGAGGAAAAACCTGCGAGTTGCTGGCCTTTTTCACCAACCTTTGAAACACAAGAATCACAAGCAGGTAACATTTGTAGCTGACTTTATCACGCCTGACCTGTGGATAGATCGGGGGGCAGGGGCACCTTGTCTTCAGACCCCCTGTCGTCCTCTCCAGTTGGTCCAGAAAAATCAGCGGCAGGAGGCATGGAGCATCATGAAGCCATTCTACAAATGTTCTTTTCGAGCTCGATGCATGCATGTGTCAGCATGTGTCAGACACCGGTCAGACCTAGACCCAACCTCCACCTCCCAACCTCGCCGACCCGGCCGACCTACCTGGCCGACGTTCACGTCGTGTCCATCCAGGTGGTCTTAACGAACTCTGCCTACATCGGCGTGGAAGTTCAGTACTCCATGAGCCAGCCTTCGGAGGTCCGGAGCCGGGGGTGTAAAAGCACAAGCCCGCTTGAAGCGAAAGCGGGTGGTTCGGTGAGGGGTTCGGCGGTGAGGGACCCCCCACAGTGAGGCATTGGGGAAGAGTCATCTGTGGCTTAAGAATGCCTGTATGCACGACAGCGCACAGCTGAAGGAGCAATCTGAATGAGAACTGAGGCTGAACTACTACCATTTCACATCATTGGCACCTTCTACACCATTCTTTTTACAGCTGAGCTCATCATGCGCATTTGGGCTTATGGCGTGAAGAGCTTCTTTTGCGATGAAGATTGGGCCTGGAGCCTGTTGGACTTTTTCATCGTGGCCACATCCCTTTTTGAGCTTGTATCGTTTATCTTGCAAGTGGTGTCAAACATATCTGGTTCGACCAACATGAGTGGCATCTCTAGCCTGAAGGCCTTCCGGATCATTCGTCGCTAAGCTGGACCAGGGACAGTCCCACGAGTGGGACTGGCTCAAAAAAGCAGAGAACCAATGGCTGGGCTGTTTTCTTCCAACCACGGTGAACCAACATGCTTGAGCCGCAAGCCAAGAAATGGTACCAAATCCAAACTGAATCCGTATATTGAGTTCTTGCATCACTCTTCAGCTTCTCGCAGTCTCGCCACATGTGGAGCTGAGGACTCACACGCTTGCTGAAGACGGTGAGGCTCATGCGTATCTTTCGATTTGTCCTGGCCTTGCGCATGCTGGTCACCTCTATATTCCACACGCTGAAATCCTTGTTTTGGGCACTGGTGCTGCTACCTGACAGGCAATGGACAAAAATAAGAGAAAACAACGGAGGCATAAGAGGCATAAGAGGCCATGAGCAAGTTGATGCTGTGTCATGACAACAGTCCACGAATTGTCTTTGCACAGCATAAGACTCTCCTTTTTGCTACAGCTTCCAGATCTCAGCGGGAATCAGTTCTCTCATCATCTCTCCTAACAAAAAGGTGATCATGTTGATTGGCGCCGTGCTTTTCCAGCCCACCTGAAGACTGAGTTGATTGCCCTTCCAGCACAGGTCAAAGAAGCAAAATAAGCCGTGAATGTTCTTTCTGGGCAATGACCATGCATTTGCACGACCCCTTTGATGGTGATTTTCCCTTTTAATTTTCCTGAGGCTTCTCCTAATTGTCTACGTTTTTGCGGTACTCTTCGTCCAAGCGGTGCAAGACTATTTGGAAGAAAGCAGGGACCTGCTCGATGACCTGGAACTTCGAGCATGCGAGCTCTACTTCCAATCCTTGGGGCATACCATGATCACACTGTTCATGAGCATCTCTGGCGGTGTGAGCTGGGAAAATGCGCTTCTTCCGCTCATGAAGATGTCACCTTTGTGGGTAGGATGTTTCATTTTCTTTGTGGCTATTTGGTCGGCACATGGCAATTATTTTAATTTTGTTTGATTGTTTGGGACTTATACTTAAAAACAAGGCACATGGCCATGGCACACGTTGGGTCATTCGTGTTGGGTCATTCGTTGTCTTGGACCAACTTTTCCAGCCAGGCTTTCACGTATTTCGCCGTTTTAAATGCCCGGGGCTGAGTTGCTAATCCACAGAAGACCGTAAGCATAGGGTAGAGCTATTTGTGCTGTCAGCTGATCTTTATAAAAGTGTCTTATAGTTTTGGAGTTGCATATTATGATTAAGTTCTTCAATCCCACCTCAATGAGTGGTTCAGAGGTAATTTTTTAGATCTCGCAGAAATGACCAGAGACAAAGATACTTCAAAGCATTAGGAGGACCTGGCGGATGCTATACTCCGAAGGGCCACCCCCTGTTCTTCAAGAACTTAGCAATGTGATGAGTTGCCACTCATTGAAGAGGAGATTCATCTCATGACCCGCTCGTCGTCTTTCTTGACCCACGCCCTTGCGGACTTGAAGCCTCAGGTTGATATTCCTCATATGGGTTTCAACAAGGCCCCCAGATGTTTCCCAGATGGCCTTTTCTTTTTGCGTTTTGCCCAGGTCACAAGTGAACGATCTTGGTCTCCTGGTCCTGTATCTCTGACGACAGGGTCTATGTTGGACGACCCGGACCCTTTGTTTGGTCTCGTGCTTGGTCCTTGCAGGAACGCTTTCATCGTTGGCATGATTGGAGTCTTGCTGTCTTCAATAAAACCGTGCCAACGCTGTTGCCGCTGTTGCCGTTGCTTCGTCCGCTGCGAAGCGTGCCCAGTTGCGTGGCTTGTTGCCGGCGCAAACCCAGATTGATGTTGAACTTCTTGACTCTTACAGTCATGTAACCTGTTGCGGGCTCACTGAACAGGAGCACTTGCGTGTTGAGAGCTGCAAACGTTGAGTGACTTTGTTAGCGTGCATTCAGCTTCCTTTTGAGCGCTACATGCAGGCTTGTCGTTCATTTGGCATGAGCAAAGCTGCTTACGGGTGGGTTGCACGTGCCCCTACTTCAACCTTGTTTACTAAGCTGTGGTGGGTGCATGTTTCGAGTTGTCGTATTCGTGTTGCTTCACTTTTTGGTGGCGGCATGCATTTTGATATCCTCTTTGGGACTCAGTTGGTTGGGTTGGTGTCTCGCGTTCAGCTGCGTCGTCGATTCAGGAGGCCCTCCTGCGCCTGTCGCGGTTGGACGCGCCCATTCGCCCATGAGTTTGGAGTGATCAAGCGACTTGTTTGGTGCTTGATTTGACTGGTGTTTGTGCTCGTCAGCATCTCGTTCGTCAGGGCAAAAGGCGTGGCTGGTGCTCTTTGCACCATGTCGCCTCTGATCGTCGGGATGCGGATATGATCAGATTTGGATTGTTTTGGCAATGGCTATACTTTGAACGCATTGATTGGACGCTTCTCTCTGGCTGGCTGTTTCTGATGCTGCTGGCTCTTCCGATCGTTGCGTCTGGACGCGTTGGGTACTTTTGATCATATCGCTTGGTCTTGTCCCCGGGGAGATGTTCCGTATATACACCCGCGAAATTTAACATCATCAAAAATAAAAACAAAATTTTTCTGTGTGGTATGTTAGCGTGAGGTGTCCTGTGTATGAAAAAGCTCCTGGGAGCGGGCCATGTTAGTGTGGGCAAACTGGGAAAGTTTCCCAGGTAAATGAAACAAGGTGTGAGACTAACATGGACCTGTTTGGAAGGGTTATTGGGCGACAGCACATGTTCTATGTTAGTGCACTGCCTGTAGCATTTTGGCCTATGTTGTGGTGGTCTATGTTAGTCTCCCCAACCACCTCTTCCCCTGAGACCGATGGTTTCCATACCCCCCAGGAAACCAAACGAGCAGGGAGGCCATGTTAGTGAGCACTATTGTTCA